CCTCCTCCTCCTCCTCCTCCTCCTCTGACAAACTCTCCTCCACAACTTCTTGCTGTGAAACACAATGCAACTCCAAATCGTGCAAATCGTTGATGTAGACTGATTGTATGTGCGTGCCAGATCAGCCATGCTCACACCTCGTCCTCACTTTTCAGTGATTTTACGTTTCATTTCTACGGTTGTTTTTATTCTCTTATGGCTGTTTTTTTGCGGCTTTTTCTTTGGGGACATTTTTGCAAGGGCTGTTAAACTTTGCACAAAAAAAAATCACAAATAATATGTCTGTACACAAGTTTGGAAAAATGTGGGATCACAAGCGACACTAAGATGCTAGCGAAACGAGTGCTAAACACAGACTGATGTAGCAAGCGCACAATCCAGGATGTCCCCTCTCGTCACTCGTTATGAGAGGTGCTCGTTAAGCGAGGTTCCACTGTATAATCTTTATTATGTTATGAAATTCCAGAGGACTTACCTGTAGTTTTTTTTTCAGTCTTGAAACTGGTGATATTGTAAATATAATCACGCTATATACAATAATATTTTGTTCAGACTGTATCAGGCTGTTTGTGTTCTAGTGTGCAAAGTAAAATCAATTACATGAAAATTCCTCAAAGTTTGAGACTGAAAAGTCAACACTAAAATTGAGATCAGTATATTTTTTCTTTGTTCATATTAACAAATTTGATACTTGCACATGTTTGCTATTCAGAAATTGAAACCAGTCATGACTTACCTGCAATACTAATTTCTGGTGGAACTTTAAATATTACATGTTGCATCTAACTTCAGGTGTTGTGAAGAGTCATGGTATGTGATCCCACTTTTTGATTGTTCCTTGATGTATCTTGTTTGCAGAGTCAGATGTCTTTGGACTCATATTTCAGAGTCATACCAAAACTTCAAGAAACAGATGGAAAGTTAAGTAAACGTGTGCAGCAGGCTGTTCATCGTCTGGGGAGTGTAGACATCTCTGACAGTGAAGAGTCCATCTTAGAAGGAAATAAGAATGGCCCTGTTTCACAGCCAAGAAAAAAACAAACTAACAGGACTGTGAACATCAGGGCAAAAGTGGGTGAAGCAAGGGGAAGCAGAGGAAGAGGAAGAAGGCATGACTCCAGTACTGTATGTGAACAGAGTCAAACTAGTGAAGAATTTATTCCACAAAGAGAACGAGATAAAATAAATGCCTTAAAGAGGAAGCTGAAAGCTGTTGAGGTATTCCATACCTCTAAAACACGTCTGAATCATTCAAGAAGACGGAAGAAGGTTAAGAGGCAGGAACTAAAAGAAACAAAGCTATCTGAAAGTGATAGTGACCCTGAATGAACAGAGCTGAGCAAATCCAAATAAAAATGTTACTTATTCCATGTGTCAGTGTTTCAAATGTAAATTGAAACCCCATGTGACAGAAAATAGTTCTGTGCTTGCTGTAAGTTTTTACTCATTGCGGATGAAGAGATAAGCACATTTATTTAGTCCTAGTGAAAGCTTTCAGAATTCACTCTTAAAAATTCTGTGCCTTAGCAGTGACAAGCAAATTATTAGGTACTGAAAAAGAAAATTAATGGTGGTTTTCTATAGCTAGAGCAGCATGTCTCCTCAGGCATCTACTTCAGGTTCATATCTTCGGTGACAGTTACAGTGATATATATACTGGTACATATTTTCTGAGAGACTTGCTTTTCAAACAGAAATTTTATGTAGTCTCCCACTGAACACTTTAGTCATGTGAATATGGCTAGACCATATACCAGAGATTCCCAAACTTATATACTATACCTTAAAACATTTCATAAATTTCATACCCCCCCAAACAATTGAAAACAGATTTGACATAAAGTTTAGCTATGAGTATACTATTGAAGAGATTTAGAAACGTCTTAGATCTGTCAACTGTTATTCCTGATTACCAGTTTGGATTCAGGGAAGGACACTCCACAATACAACAAATGCATAGAATCGTAAACAAGATCACAACAATCTTCGAAGAAAAAATATTGTGTACAGCAGTTTTCCTTAGCTCAGACGTTTGACAAGGTCTGGCACCCTGGACTAATATATAACATCAAAGATACATTCTCTAGCCCATACTACCTACTTTTAACCTTTAAGAGCCGAAGGACATCGTATGGGGACCTTTAAAGTAAAGCTGAGGTGGCTGAAAGACACTGTATGAGTATGCGCAGTCCACGCGTGCGCACAGTGTTTTAAAATCTAATTTTAAGATAGAAATTCTTGTTCTACTTACATTATTTTTGGACACCAGCTTTATAAGTAGACTGTCTTCCCTCCTTTATCATCTAACTGAATATTGCATGTCACTGAATGCAGAGTCTGACGTCGCAATTCGTGCACTTTATCCGTAATTAACTCTGGTTTCCACGCGAAGCGCGCACACGCAATGTTAGTCTTGTATTAGCAGGAAGTAAGCCAGTGATGGCGAGTGGTGTCCTCTATTCATAACGCATATAAAACATCGCAATTTCAACTATGCACCATGGCTGCTTTTCGCATTGAGAAGTCGAAATGGATAGGCCGCTCGTAAATCACACCATTCAGAATCCGTTACAGTTTATTCTGAAGGGACGTGGAAGCAAGTGGTATGAGGTGATATTCCAAGAACTGCCTCTGTGAGGATAGTCCGACAAACGTGAATAAACAAACAGAGTTTCATAAGGCAATGTAGGATAAGAACTCGCCCACACTCGGGTGTACACAAGCCTACCTGACTGGAGAATGTGCAGACCGTAAACATCCTCTCATATTGCCAGATAAAGACACAGACAGGGGCGTCAAAACTATGCATTTATACTGCAGAAACGTATTGTGCAGAAGCTTTATGCATTTTTGTGGACAGACGCTCAAAATTGGGGAAAAATTCTTTTTGGAATCAATGCAACAATTTTTACAGATATTAAAATCTGTAAATTACAGTATCTGATTCTATGTACTTTCTAGATAAAAGTAGCGTTTATTTTGTTCGTTTATCACAAAAATTGTAGAAATCACAGCATTTTAAGTAACCTAATTACAATTTTTATTACTCTACAATGGTGGGCATTTAAATTAACTCCGTCCCGCTGCCACTACCGGAATTTAAATGGCCCGTCCCATAAAGGTTAAAGTCATACATCACTGAAAGGCACTTTCAAATAAAATATAATAATTCATATTCGGATTGCTACCTGGTGAAATCAAGTGTACCACAAGGAAGCGTGATGGGGCCTCTACTATACTTAATCAATACTGCAGACTTGCCCACAACAAACAAACACTACAATTGCGGATGACACAGACCTGCTAGCAGCAAATAATGATCCAGTAGTGGCATCACAAACTCTTCAACATCACTTAAACCTCCACCAGAAATGGTATAGCAAATGGAAAATCAAAATAGAAGAGACAAAATCAAGTTACATACACCTTGAAACATACAGGGTGATTCACGAAGTTTTACCCCCACTTAGGGAGGGCATTCCTGAGGTAATTTGGAACAAAAAATGTTAATTTACTAATGGTATCCAACTCATAATTAAAGAGATACAGTAATTTGAAAACTGGCGAAAAATCTTTTTTTCTTTGAATTTCAGTCAAAACAAATTAGAAATATAATACAAACACTTTTTAAATCATTAATGTTTTAGGAAAGAAGCATTCTAAAACCATTTTTTTTTTCATTTTCTTAATTTTGCATTGTGCAACATTTTTCATTGATTTTGTTACAAAATCACATTATTTTCAGCATTCCATTCTGTAAATATACCAATGGTTGCATATCACACCCTTCTATCAATGTGTTTCCTGTGCTGCATTCACAATGATGCGTTTCGAAAATCCATTGTTATTCCGTAACTATTGAAAATCAACCACAAGTTTATAAGGAAATTTTGCAGGAAATAACCCCAGGAATATGTACCATAAGCCAGGGTAAAACCTCGTGAATCACCCTGTATAACTTCCCCGCCAGGTACCATCATTAACCTTTAACGTCCGAATGTCAAGTATACACGTCGCAAGCGGTAACTGGAGTTGGCTGAATGACCTGTGTACACGTCGCAGGACTCCTGCTCCCTTTGGGAGTGCTGACAGTTTGACCGTGGGTTGAAAACCAAAACAAACCTACGTGAGGTCATGTCAGTGGTTCATTCCTTAGCTCTGAACAAGGAAATTGTTTATAACGGTACTGGTTTCAATACTATGTATGTTTAGATATGACTGTTTATGACCTGCTCAGCCAAATATAGCCCAGCTTTGTTTCGAGAACTGATGAAATATTTATTGGTGCTTGCATGTGAGTGCTTCCAGAGCCTTCACAGAAGTCTGAGGCATTCAAGGATTGGTTTTCAGTGGCGAATTATCAGTCAGGAAGTCAGTGTCGGATTGTCTAATATTTCTTTATCAGTTAGAAAGTCAGTGTCAGACTGTCATATATTTCTTTATATATCATTTTTATTTTGTGTCTTGGAAGAGGTATAAACCCACTGAGCCAGTATCACTTTATGAGTAAAGGCATCTTCGCCACTGCGACTTTCAGTATGTGTTGGACTGGCACTCTTTTCGACTGGTATTATAATTACTTTGCATCACTATTTTGCGAATATTACCAACAGGTGAGTGTGTCACTTTGTCAATCAACATAATTTATTCGATTTTGCTAGAAACCCTCCTCCCCCAAGATGATTCTTCAATCGCGCAAGCCGAATATCACGGTCAGTGGCGTTTCTTGGGGGAAGGCCAAATTTATCAGGGGGCCCATCTGATTTGACTGGAGTTGAAAAAGTCACAACACTGGCCAACCAAAGGGAAACAAAGACGTCATGTGTTTCGGTAAATAAGAAAAGCAGGAGCACCCTCTTCTATTGTAAAAAGTGTGATTTTGCTGTGTCAAGTGGACTGTTTCGAGAAGCGCCATGCGTGTCGGTGTGACTATCATAGTGAAGTGACTGTGAACTGAAATTGTGAAGTGACGCAGTTCAAACTCGCCTACAGTAATATTATTGTATATAGAGTGATTATATTTACAGTATCACCAAGTCTGAAAGCTGAATATCACGGTCAGTGGCGTTTCTCGGGGGAGGCCAAAGTTACCTGGGGCCCAACTGAGTCGACTGGAGGTGAAACATTCACAACACTGGCAAACCAAAGGGAAACTAAGACGTATTTGTTCTCAAAATAAGAAGCGCAGAAGCACGCTCTACTACGGTAAAAAGTGTGACGTTGCGCTATGTTTGTTTGGCTGCTTCGAGACATGAGTTGCGCTATGTGCGTTGGGCTGCTTCGAGACGTTGCACATGCACGTCAGGGTGTGAGTTATCGTAAAACTGTGAAGTGACGCAGTTCAAACTCGCGTACAGTCTGAACAAACTATTATTGTATATAGTGTGATTATATTTACAATATCACCATGATTCAAGGCTGAAGAAAAAACAACGGGTAAGTCCTTTGGAATTTCATGACATATATAATAAAGATTATATTTTGCAATTCATGACAAAATAATCACAGTTAATTTTCATTTGTAAAAATTGCTCTTCTGTGTACATGTAGAAAAATTTATTGTCTTTCAGATTGTTTTTAGTTTTTATTTCTGTGTTGCATAGAATGGAAAATATGGATTTTTTCTGACGGTTTGCAAATTGAATTAATCAGGGTGATTTAAATACTGGCCGCAGGGGGCTCCCGGCAATTTAAAAGTCCGTACGTTAAAGGTTAATATGCAAATACCTGTTCAAACCAAAGTAAAATACTTTGGATTAAACCTCGACCAAAAACTGACATGGCAGAAACACATCAAAACAAAGCATCAGAAGTTAAATTTAAAACTACAAGAAATGCCCTGGCTTTTGGGCTGTATATCCAAGCTATCTATAGAAAACAAATTTCTACTATGTAAGTTCACAATAAAAGCCATATTGACATACGGTATACAGCTATGAGGCTGTACAAAATCGTCAAACGCAAAAATAATTCAAAGACTTCAATTCAAATTCTTCTGGTAACTAAAGCACCTTGGTATGTCACCAACTTTACTGTCCACAATGATTTGCAAATCCCATTCGTCATAGAAGAAATACATAGATTGTCAACAATCTACCATCAAAGCATACTTGGACACAATAACAGACTAGTTGTAGAAATTAACAACCCACCAAATGTAAGAAGAAGATTGAGGGGATAGTTGCCATCTGACCTACCACAACCCTCAGGTGACGAAGATTAAAACAATCATTCCTATACAGAGCCTTTCAGATTATCATCAGTGGATGACTTCTGTACCCAGGACACCTATTTAGAACAAATTTACTTATTACTCCATATTATAGAGAGTAGATTGTAAATATGCTGTTAATTAAATAAAAAAATAATTTCCTATATATTACTCAATGCATTATTTTAATGGACTGAAATGAAATATGCTCTTCATACTTGGATTAGTGGGATGGATGTGGTTGTGTCTGAACATAACTCATTATACCAAGGTAGGAGTTTTGAAATGGTGCTCTGAGGTCGTTTTCCATGTTCATCATAGAATGATACTTTTTTTATGGCTGCCACTGCTGAAAATCTGGTCTCGCACAGGCAGGATGTTGCAAAAGGAAGGAGAATGTTAAAGAGATTTCCTGCTGAGGTGAGAGAATTAAAGATTTAAAGAGGGAAGGCGAGAGAGAGAGAAGACGATCCGTGTCTCGGTCGGCCTTGTGCATCAAAAACAGATGCTAACATTGAAAAAGTCGGTGAAATTGTTTGAAAAACTCATTGCCTGAGTCTTCGAGCAGTTGCTGAATTAGCTAACATTGATAAAGAAAGTGTTCGACAGATTTTTCATTAACATTTTAACATGAAAAAGTGTGCTTGGAAGATGTTGCTGAGAATCCTCACTCCTGAGCAAAAGGAAACTCTTAACATTTGTGCTGACATCCTTCAAGACATTGAAAATGATCCAGACTTTTTAGGAAATGTAATAACTTGTGATGAATCATGGTTTCTTCAGTATGACCTGGAAACTGAGCGCCAAACCATGCATTGGAAGAGTCCTAGGCCACCAAGAAAAAAGCATGGAGAGCAAGTCAAATT